TTAGAAAAAAAGTGTCACATTTTTTATAATTAATTAACTTACATAACTTTCTTAATCTAACCAAATTAGTTAAATGGGTCTTATATTAAGGACCGGAAGAGTATAAGATATTGTTTGACTTTTATTCTGGTCCTAAACACAGGACTCCAATCCACTTTGTCTTTCATATTTATATATTTTTTTAAAGTAGTCATTCTAATAATAGTAGTTCTAGCCAATACACTTGATTAGCAATGATATTTAAAAAAAACAACACTTATTTAGGACAAATAACTAACTCAACTTATTTCTTTAGACTTTAATCTCCTCAAATTAGTCAACTAGCTCTTATAATTAGGATTAGAGGTAGTAATATATAATTATTGATAAATCATTGTTTTATTATAAATTTTCATGTCTTATTTGAGAATTTTATCATATTTATTAGGCTTAAATGTATTGATTATGGTTAATTTGGATTAATTGTGATTAGATGAAAATAGAAATAAAATGGCAGAAATATCATATTTTGTTATTTATTTTGATTGATTGATTTTGAAAAATATGATACTGTAATATCTTGAATTTATTATAAAAACTTGGGTGAGACTAAAGATAAAAAGAGAATATTCAAAAATTATAATGAAGGAACAATGAAAATGGAAGCAAAGGACAGTCAGAATTTCACAAATTGCAGAGAAGAATCCAAGCATGAGGTGCTACGTTTTGACTAGGGCTCTCTTTTTTTCCTCTTCTTCGATTATTCGAAATCAGGGGGGAAGGAGGCAAAGAGTGGACGGAGAGACGACAGAACGCATCCTCCATTCTCCACCATTACCATATTCCATCTTCCACCTTCGACCATCGACCTCCACACACCTCCATCCCAGCATTCCTCCCTCAATCCATCAACGCCAGCGACTTCCTCACTCATAACCATCGGCGACCTTCCTTCCCCCGTCTTCCATAATCATCGTCTTCTTCCCCTTTCACCGTGAGCGCCGCCGCCGACCTCGTCTTCACCATCAATCAGCATCTTCAGGCCGCGATACCTGTGTCTTCCATTCTTCTTGCGTGAGTCTCCCAGTCCGCCTCTTCCCTTTGCTGCAATGAAGGCTGAATCAGTGGAGGTTGGTGGAGTTACTAATCTGACCATGAGCAGCTGAGTGCGATATTCCTCTTGAAACAGAGAGTTATAAAGCCTGGAGCAATCAGTCAGGGAGTTCTTAATTACATTTGTATCTCCAATTCAGTTTTGCATTTTAATCTGTCTTGATTAGAAGATTATACAGTGATTCTGGAGTTGATCCATTACGGTTGTAATATAGTGGTAAATATTGCTGTTTCAGGTTCGATCCACGGCACCAAATTCGACTCTCAAAGCGACATGAAGATCAAATATATGTAATAAAATATCAAATTATTAAATGACTCTAAAATAAAATTTTGTAACCAGTTTACAAGCTCTTATGATAATAATATTCTCATAATTCATAAATAATTGAAAATAACATAATAAAAATGTATATTTTTAAATCGATATATGTTTAACTTTATATGAAACATTTTTATAAGATTGAAAACAAAATAAAAATATATATGCAATTATATTCCAAATAATGATGAAATAAATTATGATAATAAAACAATGATACAAGAAAAGATAATTATTTGCAAAAAAATCAAAACTACTCTAACTATTTCTCATTACTGCACGTTTAATATGCAGCATTTTTTTGAGAAGCGATCTAGTTGATTATTCTGAACTAATATTACGTTGCCGCTTGTCTGTTTTGTTTCATCCATCCTTTTACAGGAAAAGGACCGATGGGAGTTCAAATGAACTTGATGCGTCTCCTCATTTATTCCAATCTTCTCCATATCTCATGTCACGCCATAAAACCTAGCAATAAATACTAAAACAATTGGAAAAGTCCATAAAAAAAAAAGAAAAGGAAATATGAATATTTTTCGCTCGCTTTCAATAGCTTTATTTCTTGTTTGGCAAAAACGTATAATTATGCATCCGGTTTTAGTATGCGAAACTCTTTCTTTGAGAAAGGCCTTTTAAGTCAATTTTATCAACATTTCGATCCGTCCACCAATCTCCTCCTTTTGCGACCCAAATCTTTCCCTTTCAACAACTAAGTGATATTGTACATAAAACCTGGAAAGAGGCTCTGGTTCTTACGCTTATTAACCTACTCCTACTATTTAACCTTATGCTGTACATTAGCTCAAAGTTGGCAAAAGACAATATTAAAAAAGCCTAAAACAGATTACAAGCCCAGCGGAAAGAAAGCATAGCAGAACTTAGAATGAGATTAGATACATAAATAACTACGTTGGCAACAATTTATCGTTTGCATAGCTGGCAATATTAAAGCGAAACCGGGTGGGACGCCATGCATAGCACGAGATCCCAAAAATGATTTGATCTGTATTTTATAAATACGTACTATTACAATAGTAACGCATTAACATATTCTGAAGATGATAACAATAATAATAATGAATATTGTGTGCATAATAATATGTATAAAGAAGAAGAAGAAATAAAAAGTTCAATAAATAAGACGCGGGAAAGAGGGTTGTGTGCAGAGTGGAAAGAAGTTAGGATTCGTTGGAGGACGTGGTTTGGTGGGTGCATTAAAGGGTACGAAGAGGCAGCATTAATGGAGAAGCCGTGGAGTCCAAGTGGAGGCAAAGCCCCAAAGCTTTACAAATTCGATAGGTAGTGGTATTAGACTTGTTGACCAGTTGGATTTGAAAAGGAAAAGAGAGATACTGGAAGATAGGAGCATTATTGAAGAGAACATAGTGGAGACAATTAAGTGAGTAAAAAGAAGCATGAACTAAAGAAGCTAGTCAAAACGCTAGGAGATGCATAACATGGGGAATAGTGTGTTCAAAGCAGAGAGAAAGGAAGAGGACAGTTGGGCAAATAAATAAGGAAGGGCAAAGACCGGTGAGGCTCATTTATTCATTGCAAGCGTGACAGATGAGTAATTGAAGGTCTTGTTCCTCCCTCTGCTCTGTACTCTGCCTGCTCTTCCAGTCTATATAATGCCACCTTTCTCTCCTGCTTCAATGCACTTTCATTTCTTCTTCTTCTTCTCTTCTTCCTTGTGAGTCTGATATCTCAATGATGAGAGGTTTTTCAAATGGCAATGTGGTTACTTGGTTCGGTGTTCTTCTCCTTTGTGTGACTGCTTATGTGGGTGTGGCTGATGTTGGCGTTGATAAGGACGACAAGCATTTTATTCATCCGCCGCATTTGCTAGGACACGGCATTTTCAGAAAAGGCTTTAGACATGGTGGAGGCTTCGGAGGTGGCGCTGGTCTTGGAGGTGGCGGCGGCATTGGTGGCGGCGGTGGCCTAGGTGGCGGAGCTGGAGGAGGGTTAGGTGGTGGAGGTGGTTTAGGCGGGGGAGCTGGAGGAGGGCTAGGCGGTGGAGGTGGTTTAGGCGGGGGAGCTGGAGGAGGGCTAGGCGGTGGAGGTGGCCTAGGGGGTGGAGCCGGTGGAGGTCTGGGAGGCGGTGCAGGTGGTGGCTTGGGCGGAGGGGCAGGTGGTGGTGGAGGTTTCGGAGGGGGTGCGGGTGGAGGAATAGCTCATGGTGGTGGTTTAGGTGGGGGTGCTGGCGGAGGTCTAGGTGGGGGTGCAGGTGGTGGTTTGGGTGGGGGTGGAGGTTTGGGTGGCGGAGCTGGTGGAGGGCTAGGACATGGTGGTGGCTTGGGTGGTGGTGCTGGTGGAGGACTTGGCCATGGTGGTGGTCTAGGTGGGGGTGCAGGTGGTGGTTTGGGTGGTGGTGGAGGTTTGGGTGGCGGAGCTGGTGGAGGGCTAGGACATGGTGGTGGTTTGGGTGGTGGTGCTGGTGGAGGACTTGGTCATGGTGGTGGCTTAGGAGGGGGGGCAGGTGGAGGACTAGGTCACGGTGGTGGTTTAGGTGGAGGTGCAGGGGGAGGACTAGGTCACGGTGGTGGTTTAGGTGGAGGTGCAGGGGGAGGGATAGGACATGGTGGGGGCCTAGGAGGTGGTGCAGGTGGAGGGCTAGGAGGCGGAGGTGGAGCTGGAGGTGGTCTTGGAGGTGGAGCGGGTGGTGGAGGAGGCGCAGGGGAGGATTTGGTGGAGGTGTAGGCGGCGGAGGAGGTGTAGGAGGAGGAGGCGGGTTTGGTGGAGGCGCAGGCGGTGGAGCTGGGGGTGGATTCGGAGGAGGAGGCGGATTTGGAGGAGGATTTGGCGGAGGAGGTGGTGTCGGAGCAGGGGTTGGAGCTGGTGGCGGCAACTGAAGTGATCGATCAATCCATTTATATGTGTAATACTACAATTGGCACAATATTACTTAACTGGTGATTCTGATGTGTGAAGTATTTAGGAGTCATCCATATTCTTTGGAATTAAACGAGTAAGTTGCAAGTGTGGTCTGTGAATTAATTGCCATTGGCGTCTCATATATATATATATATATATAGATCTTATTTACGAGCGTACGCTATTTGTGATGACCCTGCATGCAAAACCCAAGCTTCTTTTTCAACGTGTAATGCCCTGTTCTATTCCTAATTCTAATGAATAATATTATCAATCCTGTTTCAAAACTGTGCAGTCTCCTATGCGATGACCTGTATACTCATCTGTGTGCCTATCTCTCTTCAGTTCAGCAGAGGACGTACAGATAATTGAGGCTAGCTAGCCATGTAATAATCCTTCGTTCACGTAATGAATAAAACGTGTGTGTGAGTGTGATGCTTCCCTAAGTAGTGAATCTTGTTCGTTAATTTGCCGTCCGGTACGTACATGACTCATGCACACACACACACACATGATAAGACCTACCAAGAGCATCTGTAGTTGATGAATTATTGGTGGGAACAAAAAAAAGGAAGCGAGTCTCTGTCTTAGCGTCAGCAGCATGTGGAAGTGTTTGAATGCTCTTGAAGCATGATGCAAGAATATGCCTATATATATAAAAGGATATGGTTCTGTGTCTTCTACTTTTTCTTTGTTTTGTTTCCATTCTCAAAATTTGCATTCTTAACTACACTTCATTTAATCGTACGCACCCGCACACATGTATATATATTCATGACATCCCAAATTGAGTATATATATCAAAAAATCTACAGAAAATTGAACCAATTAGAGGAGGACACTTGCAGCAATCAGTTGTGAGAAGAGCTATGCGTACCTTTGCCGACACTTGCCAACAAAAACAACATGTTCGTGCTCGACATATTACTACGACAATATTAATGGTCTGTTTCATGTCTCAAATGCGTTTAATGCTATTATAGTATACACAATATATTCATCAAATAAAAATTCTAAACCGGCCAGATCTATCTGAGGGTTAAAATACCTGATCTCAAAATTAAAACTGCCATGCTTCGGGGGTTAGAGAGGGTGTTTTGTTAATTAGACAAAACTTACTGATAATAGTAATAAAGAGAAAAATAAAAGTATCACGTCTTCTTACTGTCGATACAGAAGCTGCATATACACCACAGGCCACACTAAGTACAGAAAGATATCTGTGTGTGTTAAGGGGAAAGATTTTAAATTATATACGGTCGCAATATTACTATTGTTGCGATAGTTTCATAATAACTTTAAATAAAACAATGACAGGGGACGATTATATTATACCAGCATCCATTGACGATATTGGGTCACGATACAACGGGCAAGAGCTAGAAATAAATGGCAATCTTAAAAGAACTGTCTATAATATCTTAACAAAACCTGTACATAATCCAAAACAAACACACATACCAACAAATTAATGAAGCTTGTTGCTTACTAGTTGGATTCAGGATTTGGACCGCTAGGGACGCTATGAGCAGCAGTTTGAAAAGGATGATTTGTGGAGTTATTGTTGGCTGCTTCTGTTGTTAAGTGTGGAGGATGGTGAGCAAGGAGAGCAAGAAGAGAGAGGATCCCAATAAGTAGCCACAGAAGAAGATGATGAAGTTTTTTATTAGTGATGATTACCATTGAATAATCATAAACCAGCCCGGCCCCCAGTGATCCAGAGGAGATCAATATCCATCAAACACTGATATTACCTACTATGTATGCTGCAGCACAGGAAAATGATCAGTGAGAGAGGAGGAAGAAGAAGAAGCTGATATAGAAAGAAGAGATATTACCTCAACAGATAAAGTGGAGACAGTCTCTCTGGTTTATAAAGACAAGCCTCACTCCTTCCACATAAGGTCCGAGGAGCCTATTCTAACTGGGGAAAAAGAAGAAATATATAACTGATAGGGTTAAGTTCCTACTGACAGAAAATATGCCTCACGTGAGATCAAAAAACCTGTTTCTGTTTATGTGATTGTTGTGGTTCGAGCTCTTAATGAGCTAACAATAATTATTAATGATGAGTAGCTTTTTTCGCTGCAGGGATAAGGTGATGCAATGACGACTGACTTAAAACCAAACATGTGCATGTGTATGTGCATTATTATCTCATAAGTTTTCTTCAGTAAGTAAGTCTACAATAGAATTAAAATCCCTTATTAGAACCCAAAATGGAATTGACTAATTATTTACAAGGCTAATACTTGCTGCGCAATTAATGGGTTAGTGCTTTCAGATTGGAGCATGTTTAACAAATCCATTATTTGAACTCTAGAGAAAGAGAGGGACAGAGAAGGAGCAGCATGTTTTACTGACAAATTAAAGGCAAAGAGAAGATAAAAAGGTAGGTAGGCATGCAATGGAAGAGGAGTCTTTTGGAAAAGCAAAATCTGAAAAAAGAAAATAAATAAAGCAGCGTGATGGCCGTATGACGGAGAAAAGAGAAGGCCACAACCCCTAGAATGGCGAGTGATGGCTTTTCATACTTTCTTTTCTTGACTTTGAACCCACCACATTCACACTCTTATAATCTCTAATTATAATCCGAACATTAAACTAATCTCTGAATGCTCACCCACAAAGCAACATCCTCCATTATTAAGTCACTTTTGTGGAAGATGATGAATGAGATTTAGATGAAATTTCTACAAACAGATTTGCACGCATTGCTTTTTGTTTGTAGGCGAGAGCGACCGGTGATAGTGAGTGGCATTGAAGGAACTGATGGATAATGGTAGGTGCCTTCTTTTTTCTGAATTCGAACAAAGCGTGAATCACTAGCTAGCCTCCTTGCTTTACCTGCACGTTCAAATTTTGTCTTTTCTCTGTTCAATCTCCTCCACTCTCATTCCTCTTGCTGATCGCACTCATGGAGCTAATATATGTACGAGAACAATAATCAACAATTTTGTCTTTCAATTCATGTTTTGATCAGAAAGTTGTGGATCAAATTATTCCATTATCACAGATATTTAAAATGAGTGCTCAATCATATTACTAAGGATTTGGTAGCATGAGATAAAAGATTGAGGAGTCGAGGCCTCTTAACTTCTATTACTATATATTTGTTAAAGAATGTCTAGAGCTTCTAAACAAGTCAAGGATTGCCCTGTTTTGATTTTTGTAGATTTGACTTAATTACGATTGTTTTAAAGTTAGCTGCAAAATAAAACAAATCATGCAAATAAAAAGGACAAATTTGTGGTAAGAATGCAAATAATGCATTTCAAGCAGTAAAAATTTAATGACAAATTAAAATGGTTCAAACCATGCCTTCCCAAGGTGGCCGGAGTTGCCGCAGATGAATTAAACTTTGAAAAAACAATGTTAAAGAAGCATTATATTCTTAAGCTCCTTGAAATCAACACTTATATACCAATGGTCAGTGCAGAAATAGGAAACAATGCTGCAAGATAAGTAGCGATCTGTGGACAAATAATTGACTCATTTCCAAAATAGTTTTTTCACTCAAAATTCCATCCTTGAAATGAGGTGAAACTGGACAAAACAGAGATCTAAATAAAAAGGACTTCATCTGTGAAGCGTGGCTAGCAGTTTTGCTTGCTCTGCTAATGTGGGTTAAATTTCGAACTTTCTTTCATTATGAGGGACTATTTCCTCATTGTTTCTCTCCTTATGCATATCTCTATCTACACTTTCTTAAGCTCCCTAACTTTATGAGCTTTCAGCCACAGTCCCTTTACTATGACTTCCTGCATTGGCTTCTTCATCCTGTTTACTTCGCTCTGCATCTTCATCAACAATAGCTGGATCTTGATGCTCATCCTTGTCACCCCTGAGACAAGATTGTACAAAATGTGTAAAATTATTGATTCCAAGAAATATCAAGGGAATACATTCATATATGAATAGCACCGTAAGAGTCAGATTTTCCATCAAATTTTTAGTTTATTTGGCAGCATAATAGTACTGTGCAAACCATATAGCTGATCCCACCAAACAAGGTAAGATTTATTGTTATTGTTGTAAGGTTATTTGGTCAAATGGTATACGCACAGAAGTTCCCCCCTCCTATGAGCAAAGTCAGAGCAGAATCAAATCCTAGATTTTGTAATACTGTACAAAAGAGACACCAACACTAACTAACTAGACATTGCTGAGTGGGGAAGGAAATTGTGGCTTTTATTGTGCTTATGAAGAGAACTTGAAATACAGAGAGGTGAACTAACGATGTTCCAGTTAAGAATTCTAATGAAACAGGCGAAGTGGACCTGCTGGAGAACTATTGAATCAGCATACACAGAAATTTCATGGGCACACAGAATTCTTAACAAGAAAGAATCAAGGTGCCAAGATGTGATTTTTGTATAAAAACACGCCTGATCGTCATTGATATTTAATGCTAGAACTAGCTGACTGAATTGCAGCCATTTATTGTCAGAAAATCCCAAAAGAAAATTGCGTAATTGGAAATAGAAACGCTGGAGCAAATACCCGGAGTAGATAATAAGCCCAATTGTAACAGCACCAAAAGCCACAAAATACATCCAATCAACCTGGAAATGAAAATTAGTTCCAGATATGTTAGCACATTCAACATGTGATTCATGTTTAATAGGATTATCAAAATTGTTAATGTTGCTATCAGACCTTTTCATGGTATGCAAAAATGCGAATTAAGACAGACCACATGTCTGAAGTCAGCAGAGACAGATTTAGCATGGTAGACCCATTGATCTGCACAAAAGAACATAGTTTATTAAAATGATATTTCCCCGTAGAAACCTGGATATTTAAAACTTACGAGAGAAATACTGTTACTAGTTTAGTATAAATTTTCCCATCTCAAGCAAAAATTTCAAGAAAATTCAATTTTTGATCTATTACTTTCAATAGTTTAAACATTTTACTCACAGACATAATAATTGGAAATCTGGAGAGTTGTAGCTTAAATGCATACCTTAAGCAGGACAGGGACTAATGAGTAGAACAGAAACATCGCCAATGCGAACCCGACAAAGGGAAGTGCCTGAGACCAACATTGAAAAAGAGGTCACAATTTTTAATTTCCTAATTTCTCATTATCCTTTCCATAGAACCATCAGATTCGGTTTCTTCTACAAAGGAATGAGACAGGAGCAAGAAATAAGCCAGCTTAAATTAAACGAAAAACCTTTCAAGATGACACTTTCAGGATCTTAGATAAAGTGATATTTTGTCAATGATGATAATGTTGTGTGGGTGTGTGTGTGTGAGAGAGAGAGAGAGAGAGAGAGCTTACTGCTCCGGCTGACCAATGAATAGATTTCAGCTCACTGCGCTCAAGTACGCTTCTGTAATATTTATTAAGGCCATGAAATTGGAGTGGGTAAATGGAACATATTAAAAATGTTTTCACTTTCCTTTCTCCTACAAAGTTGAAGCCACTTTATACACCAAGAATAACGTGATAATAGATTATAGGGGTAGTATAATTTTTGATTCCTCAAATTTACCCTCATTTTAGTTTTGGTCCCTTAAGTTTCAAACCATGGACTTTAGTCATTCAAAGGACAAAATAGTCTAAGTTTTTATTGGACTATAGAGACCAATAGTTTAACTTAAATGAAACTTGAAGAATCAAAACCTATGGTTTGAAACTTGAGGGACTAAAACCAAAATAAGAGCAAACTTGAAGGACTAGAAATTATATTAACTCTAGATTATAGAAATAATCTTTGACCCATCTCATTATCAGCCATTAATCACCTAAATTTAAGAAACTTGATATTAAAATACCTTCAAATTTTCCACTGGTGACATTTACACATTTCAAATTTACTCAATTCCCAGAATATTCTCTAATGCAATATGATTATGACCCGACATGATTCAACCATTGAGGAAAACAATCTCTGAATTCGGCATAATGTTTCCAATATGACATGGCTATGCATTATAGTGAAGACTTAAGGGACAATAAATGGTGCAAACAAAGTTTGACCCCCTGGAACTGCTACAAAATAGGTTGAGCACGATTAAAAATATAAACATCTCTGAATTATTGGTTTTTAATTGCAAGGATACATTTGAATTGCGCTGATAATGCCACCAAAGGTACCCAACATTGCCATGAGCTCAACTCTATCGGCATTTTTCACTAGAAACTCCTGCAATGGGAAATAGATCATGATAAAGCAAAATGCGTCATGCATAAAGTAACTCTGCTCTGAGCTCTAAAGTGTGAATGAAACAGCATATTGAACACATGGCAGTTCTTAAATTCACCACAATGAATCGTCTGTGCACTCTTGATCTCAGTCGATCGAAACATAGTAACAAATAAGGTTAAATGAAGAAACAAGTTACATGGCAAGATAGTTCTGCTAACATTTTCACTAAGTTTTAGTTGAGCTATAGTATGACACGCACGAGCTTATTGAGACATTAGACAAACGTTTGAAATAAAGTGGGCACACTACAAAGAAAAATGGAAAAATTCCTTGACTTTACAATCACATTGAGAAGCTCTTCAAAAAATAGACAGAAAAAAGGTCGCATACAAGACATTGGAAGCACCAAAATACAGAAATGTAGTCATCTTACCTCACTGACATTACTGATAGCATACAAGGTAGCACCGGCAATGACAAGAATATCCCCTTTGCGAGGATTGCTTCCACCTATGACATGCATGCAACATCAGAGAGATAGCATAAATGGAAAGATGTACGTAACCAATGATAACTGATAATATCAAAATCCCTTATTTAGGACTACGTTTTAAAAGAACAATCCATCTCCATGTGGGTGCATAAGTAAATCACATAAGAAATAGGTGTCAACATCAACTACAAAAAAGCCACTTACCAGCACGATCGCCTGCATGAACATCTGAAAACACTACCAGCACAAGACCAGCAACACAAACAATTACCCCAGTAATCTTT